ACACCACTGCACTCTACAGAGGGTGACAAAGTAAGACTCTCAAAAAAAAAAAAAAAGAAAAAGCAAACTTGGAACAGAAAGAAACTTCTTCAATGAGAAGGGTATATATGAGAAAATTATACCTAAAATCACACTTAATAGTAAGACTGAATTTCTGACTAAGACTGGGAACAAGAATGTCCACTTTTACCAGAGCAGTAAGGAACACAAAAGAAATAAAAGGCAAAAGGGCTGGGCACAGTGGCTCATGCCTGTAATGCTAGTACTCTGGGAGGTTAAGGTGGGTGGACTGCCTGAGCTCAGGAGTTCGAGATCAGTCTGAGCCAAGACCAAGACCTCATCTCTAAAAAAATTAGTGGGGCATTGTGGTGGGTACCTGTGGTCCCAGCTACTCGGAAGGCAGAGGCAAGAGAATAGCTTGAGCCCATTAGTATGAGGTTGCTGTAAGCTAAGGTATCACAGCACTCTGCCAAGGGCGACAAAGTGAAACTCTGTCTCAAAATAATAAAAAAGAAATAAAAGGCAAAATGATTGGAAAGAGATTATCTTTGTAAACTCCATTAGGTTGGGTAATTCCCTACAAAAACTCAGAGAACTTAGAAAAATGCTATGTGGTCATCCCTCAGTATCTGCGCGGGCACTGACTTTTAAGACCCTCTCAGATATTAAAATCCATGCTACTCGTGTCCTTTAAATAAAATGGTGTAGTATTTGCTTATAACCTATATACATCCTCCCACATACTTGATATCTCTAGAATGCTCATAGCACCTAATACGATGCAAATGCAATGTAAATAGTTGTTACATTGTATCATTAGGGAATAATGACAAGAAAAAAACCTGTACAAGGTCAGTATAGGTGCAACCATTCATTTTTTTCTCAAGTATTTTCAGTCTACAGTGGTTGAATCTGCTGATGTGGAATCACAGTATGAAGGGTCGACTGTACTTATGATTAAAGCTTTATCATGGAAAAAGAGTACAGATCAGACCCAGCCAAAGGGAAGAGACACATAGGACAAGAGTTCTAAATGGGAAGCTTCCACTGTCCTCAGGGACACATGAACCTCATCTCTTGGCACAATGATGGACGACCGCACACACAATATTGCCAACGAGGGAAGATCACCTCAGTTTTGATGTCCAGAGCTTTTATTGGGGTCTCACTACGTAGGAGTGATTGCTTACATTAGTGTTCACGTGACTCTTTCGCTTCCCTTTCCTTCCCAGAGGCTGGGCTGATAAGAACTCTTTAATCATTCAGCCCCCACGATCATTTCTTTAGAATAAACTACCAGATGTGGGAGATGGGGAGGGATAACAAAGATACTGCTATCACAGGATAATTCTGAGTTTTAGAGGTTCCGTCCCAAGAACCAGGGACAATGACCAAATTCTTTTTTATAGTGTTGTTAAGAGGGTAAATGCAATCTTCTGTGGAGTACTTTACACACTACTTGGTACACATTAAACTTATAGTAAATGCTGGGTGCTAAGGATGAGTATTTCATTTTGAGATCGAGTCTCAAGTTGTCACCCCGGCTAGAGTGCCGTGGTGTCACAGCTCATAGCAACCTCAAACTCTTGGGTTTAAGCGATTCTCTTGCCTCGGCCTCCCAAGTAGCTGGGATGATAGGCGCCTGTCACAATGCTCGTCTATTTTTTGGCTGTAGTTGTCATTGTTGTTTGGCAGGCTGGGGCTGGATTTGAACCTGCCAGCTCCGGTGCACGTGGCTGGCGCCCTAGCTGCTGAGCTACAGGCACCAAGCCGAGGATGAATATTTCTTACTAAAAGTGGTGTTCCCATGAAACTCAGTGTCTTGGTAAAATGACACGGAGTATACTATTTGGAAAGATGAAATACGGTTATTAGAATTCTGGGGAAGTTTCTAAACTAAACCCATCAAGATAAAGGTGACTGATGTCTTCAGTGAAGAGAGTTTCTGTAACTAGAAAAAAATGATATTGAGGAGTCTTTTACATATAGTACTTGGGAAAACGATTTGTGAATGAAATAGGTTAGTTTCCCTGTGGCGAGTTATTTGTTCATAGTTCCTAAAATTATGTAGGTCGCACATTATTTTTCTGAAGTCTCTGTGATGTCAGAAGAAGCTACCTGTGTGCTCACAGACAGTAAACAACAGGCAGCACAAAAGGTGGAAACTAAGAGAAGGGGAATTCATGAAGTAAGCCCCAGGACAGCCCTGGCTCTCCCTGGGAATTTCTTACCTGGGAGAAGTGGCACAGCAAACTAGCCTAAACACAGCAGAAAGGTCCCACTGAGCTGAGACTAGATCAGAGTTCAGGACGAGTAAAACAAACAGAACCTGTGGGTCAGGGCATCAGAGAGATAAAACGTGTGCAGGGTGGGGAGGAGACAGGAAAGGGCAGAAGTCTGCGTGGGATCCCAGTAAGACCTTGGCTGAGGGTTACACGCACAGGCCGATGCTCTTCACATTTACGGGAAAGTGGCTGCTATGGAACTGAGTGCCACAGAGATACTTCTAAGTCCAGTAAGGATAACTGGAGGGCTTTAGAGTTCTGGTCAAGACAGTCATCCAGTTGAGACACCAGAACAGAAGCCATGTCCTTGAATAAGAATCATATATCCCAAGGCAAGACTTACTTTGGATCTGCCCTAAAAAGGGGTGGGAGAAAAGCCACTGTGGCCCAGTACAGTCTAAATAAAGGGGGACAATTATGCAGAGAGCTGAATGGCGGTAGCAGCAGCAAAAGAATGGCTACATACAGGGGAATGATCACATACGTAACTATTTTGAGGATAAGAGGAATCAAGTCTCCTCCTGTTGGAGAAGAAAGTTAAAAATATGCAAAGGGATAAAAGTAGAAAAAACCCTATCACGTGGGATTAGAACTGGAGAGATCACTACAAATGTGTGATTTTTAATATCCATTTCAATATGTTTACATACATATAAAATTAGATACCTTGAGAGGGTCTGAGAGAAGTAACATTCCAACAGCAACATGTATATCTACTATCTTAATTACTAAACACCATTTCCCACCATAAGTAATGAGGCTATTTGGCAAAATGGCTGATTTCAGGGCTAGGGCAGAGAAAAACCCAAGATGCGCCTGGGATATCTTGTGCCAAAATGAAAGGAAGTGTTCAAAGAATGAGGAAGGACACAAAAAAGAACAAAGACAGCTCAAAGGGGCTCCGACTGGCCAAATCCAGGACAATACGAGCACATGAAAAATGGGACTTGATGACTAGATACTGACATAAACAAACAAATACATAAAAAGTTTAATAAGCAGGGGGATATTTCATAGTCTCAAAGTACTTCTCCACAAAATACTTATTACAAAGGAAACAAGAGTGACTTTACAGTGGAAAAGTCTCACATACATCCCCTTAAGCAAGTTATTAACATCACCAGTTACAGAATAAATGAGAATCACAGGGCACGTGATAGGTAAAACATGTAATTTCGTCAGTAATGGCGCCAGAGATGTAACTTGAATCTAGTCATGAATATCACAGACAAAGGCACATTGAGGAATACTTACAAAAAACTTTCTGTAATCTTCAAAAGTGACAAGATCAGAAAAGTCACAGAAAAACTGGGGTAATATTCCAGCTTGAACATTAAAAGATGTGCAAATGCATGATTTGGAACTAGATCCTTTTGGTACAAAAGACATTACAGGAACAAATGAATATCAATTTTCTATTTGTAAATTGTGAAGTTCAGGCCAGGTGTGGTGGCTCATGCCTGTAATCCCAGCACTTTGGGAGGCCTAGGCAGGTGGACTGCCTGAGCTCATAGGTTTGAGACCAGGTGGTGCCAGAGCAAGACCCCACCTTTAAAAATAGCTGGGCACTGTGGTGGGCACCTGTAGTCCCAGCTACTTGGGAGGCTTAGGCAAGAGAATCACTAAGCCCAAGAGTTGGAGATTACTGTGAGCCATGACACCACAGCACTCTACTGAGGGTAACAAAGTGAGACTCTGTCTCTAAAATAAAAAAAAAAAAGAAAATTGTGAGGTTCAACCATATCTATTGCTCTAAATATCAATAAAATACTCAGAGGTTTTTGTAATAACAAAATAACTTATCAAATGTAAACTTTATAGGGAAAAGTCTTAAGGGGGGACAAAAGTTGATACTTCCATCAACATAATAGAATATTATGTAGGCACATAAGCTGATATGAAAAGACATCAAGATTCTGTTGAATGGAGAGGAAAATTTAGCCCAGTGTATGTAACATATTCCCATTTGTATGTAAGTGTGCATAGATGTACGTTTAAAATGCCTATATATTGCAAAGAAAATTTCTGAAAAGATACATGAGAAAATGTTAATGATGATTAGTTCTGGGAAATAACATCAATAGTCCAAAAGGAGACAGGGCATCTTCTGCTCCATCTCCTGCTCTTGTATACTCAACTTTCACCAAGGAAAAAAAAGTCTTTCTAGTAGACATAAATACATATAGCACCCGGATCTTGATTGCTAACTACCTTCCCAACTAAAAAGAAAATCCTTGGAGAAAGGGATGATGCTAAATATGGGTTAGAGTACAGAGTGAGCTGTGGATATCTCTTTGTGCTAGAAAGAAAAGCACCCAAAGCTTGTGAAGGCATGTGAACAAGACAAAGCAGCTAGTGTGCCGGGGCTCCCACTATCCAAATGTGGGACAAGGTAAACATCAGAAAGAATTACTGTAACTAAAATAGTATCAAGGAAAGCAAGAACATGATTATTTCAAGAGTCAAGACAGCTGTTAATTACAAAGGCAAAAGCAAGCACACCAGTGAACTTATAGGACGCGGTGACAATGTATTTCTTGACCTAGAAAGTAATTACATGAATTAAATGAATAAACATTCATTAAATGCTATGCATTTGTGATATGGATTTTTAAATATATAAAAGTATATTAAATGTATTTCTAAGGTTTCAGGGGGAAGAAAAGGTCAAGGAAAAAATAAGAGGCTTTTAGAAAAAAAAAAAAACTATTTTACCTGCAAGAATATGTAGGCTCTCCTACTTTAAAGACACGACCACAAAGATGAGAAGGTTTGTTGGCTTGTTCAAGTTTTGGAAATCCAAATGCAGGATCTTCACCACAAAGGTACCATTCCATCGGTCCCAATAAAACATGCTGTGCCAACATGTCTTCTTTCTGTGGTAAAGGGTTGGGACCCCTGCAGTAGATTTTGGGTACATAGTGGGCTAAATGCTGGTATACTTCTCTAGCGAGGTCAGATGCTTGCAGCCATTTCTTTAAAAAAGAAAAGAGAAAAAAAGTTTTAAATAATGGTAACAAACTGCTAATTTGAACAAATGTATCTTACTTTCTTTTAGGTACAAAAATAGTAATATAAAAGTCATATTTTGTTTACAGCACTCACCACTGTACATAAACAACTTAATCTATTAAAACACCAACTATTTTCGAATTCTACTCTAAAGTATAAGTAAAATTAAAATGCAACGAGTCCTTTCCTCAAAGGGAGTCTTGAAGCAAACTTCTATAGACAGTACAAGAAACTGTCTACAAGAAATCATTATAGCAGACATTAGCTAATGAGCTTATCTGAATTCCTTTTTAACGCTTTGCTGAAATGTGTGATGTGGATTCTCATGTCAGTTTGTTCACAGGAAGAGTATGCAGTGAACATGAACAGCCAATACAATAGGCATATTTCTCACTGATTGATAAATGAGTTTTATGAATGTCAGTCCAAAAGAGACTTGTTCTACCAATTATGCCTTCTTTCCCTATCAGCCTCCTTCCATAAGCTCTTTTCCTTTTGCTCTCCCTACTAAAAACAATGGCTGTGACCTTTGTTGACAAAGGGTCTCTGTGACCCCCTAAACCTTTATGTCCAATTACCTGTTACAAGGCACTGACTTAATATATCCAAATTTGAACTCATGACCTTGCCTGCAACCCCCACCCAAAGCTGTTGTTCTGCCCATTTCCCTACCATTACCCTTCCACCTGGGTATCCACACCAGAAAACCTTCCTTCTTCTTCACCCCAACATCTAATCAACCATCATATCTTATCTGTTAGGCTTCCTAAATATCTCCTGAATCCGTCCATTTCCTTTTCCACAGCCACCACCTCCACTACCCTAGTCCAAACTCTTTACTCTCATCACCAGGATTAGTGCAACAATGTCCCAAGTGGTATCCCCACTAGTCTTGCTTCTCTGCAACCCATTTCCAACTTTACTGCAAGAGTGATTTTTGCAAAAGGCCACCTGCATCATGTCATTCAGCTTCCCACTACATTTAGGATCAAGTCAAGTACCCTGACATGGCTTAGAAGGCCTTTGTCTTTACTGACTCTCCAGTCTTTTCTGGAGATCTGGGGCACGCCTCTCTCTGCTTCGCAAAGCCATTTTCTACTCATTCTTCAGATTTCAATTTATGTTTCACTTTATCTAAGATGCCTGCTTGGCCATTCCCCATCCCTACCCCTCTTCCTCATATTCTCACCTCTAAAACATAACCTGGCCTCAGTAAGTGATCTGAGAAAAGTAAAATCTGTTAAGTGATAACTATAAATTTGTTTATACTACTTACTGTCACATAACATTGACACTCAAGAAGGATGCTCCATGTGGCTTTAATGAAAGCAGAGATAAAGAAGACCCAGGCCTACAGCTGGATCAGGTATCAGTCTCTAAAAACTCAATCAGGCTCAGTGCCTATAGCTCAGTGGCTAGGGCATCTGCCACATATACTGCAGCTGGTGGATTCAAACCCAGCCCAGGCCTGGCCAACAACAATGACAACTACAACCAAAAAATAGCCAGGCGTTGTGGAGGGCATCTATAGTCCCAGCTACTTGGGAGGCTGAGGCAAGAGAATCACTTAAGCCCAAGAATTTGAAGTTACTGTGAGCTGTGACATCACAGCACTCTACCAAGGGTGACATAGTAAGACTCTGTCTCAAAAAATAAAATAAAATAAAATAAAATAAAAACTAAATCAAATAAGCCATAGATAAAGGCACCCTTCAAACTACCTCCTTTCTTTTCTCTGTTTCTTTAAGCCTTTTTAAAAATTTTCGGCTCGGCGCCTATAGCTCAACCAGCTGGGGCACCAGCCACGTACACCTAAGGTGGCCGGTTCGAATCCCCAGCCCGGGCCCGCCAAACAACAATGACGGCTGCAACCAAAAAATAGCC